GAAATCTCCCTCATAGATCACAAGATAGGTCTGATTTTGGAAAACAACCAGGCTATGAGTGACATCCCAGTTAAAAGGAGGTAGCATGAATAACCCCAAGAGGGACCTAATACAATGCTTGTCTTGGGGAATCCACACACAGCCAGTATGGCTAGGACAGTGAATGCATGTAAGTGTGACCTTGAAAGGAAACTGGACAGGGAGTCTGAAGAGAGTTCTGTTAAGGGTCAGAAGTATAGTTTAAAAGTTAGTTTGGGGGCTGGGGATATAGCTCAATTGGTAGAGTACTTGCATTCACAAGGCCCTGAGTTCAATCTCCAGCACCACACACAAAAAAGAGTTAGTTTTGGGGGTTGGGGTTTTAGCTCAGTGGTAGAGGCTTGCCTCACAAGTGTGAGGCACTGGGTTCGATCATCAGCACCACATAAAAATAAATAAATAAATAAATAAATAAATAAATAAATAAATAAATAAAATAAAGTGAAAGGAGCAGGCTATAAGCACACAAAATCTGTGTCCTCTATAAATTAAGGAGCATCCTGTTTTTTGTTGTTTTTTTTTTTAAGTTAGGTTGGAGTGAATTCATGGAAGGAACTAGAATGTCAGCATTTAGAATTATAGGAAACTGTAATAGTTTTGGATAGAAAGTGACTTAATGAAAGCAGTGCCACAGAATGTGGAGTAGAGGGGGTAAGTCTATAGGCCAGATCTTGGCTCAGTTAATTGCAGTTATTTGAGCGGGGCACATGGTCCAGACCTAGAGTCTTTTACTTGGGGGCCAAGGGTAATTATGAGTCTTTTTGATATTTAGCATAAAGTTCTAGGTATGTACCATCACGAGAGTATACAACCATCATTAGATAATGGAAGTTGTCTGCAATGATCACCCTCCTCCCCTAGTCCAGCAAAATAGTGAAGACCAAGGAAGGATTCCAGTAAAGAAGCCAGGTTCTGGAGTTAGACCACCTGAATCTGGTTTCAGGGCAAAGCCTTGTTCTTTCCTCCTCATAGAAAGAGCTTTAGCCACATATTATCTCCAAGTTACACTGAACCTCATCTTCTCTCTGAGCCTCAGTTTCCCCCAGTGGGAAAATGTGGCAACTATTATTACTATTTGCTAAAACAATCGTTTTAGAGAATATTGTGATGCTTGAATTAGATAAAGACAGATACGCAAGGCTCTGGGTTAAATAACCAGAATATGCACACACACACGTGTGTGTGTGTGTATGTATGTAATATATATTACAAACATACATGTATGTAATATATGTGTTATATATATTACATACATACACACATACATGTATGTATATTATATTTATATATATATATATAATTTGTGTTATGGGTTTTTTTTAATTTTCAAAAATCTTTCATTATGAAAATTTTAAACATTGAGCAAAAATAGTGTAATGAGCCTATAAACTCATTATCCGGATTCAAGAGTATGTTAGCTTTTCTTTTTTCTAATTTATTTTTTATTAGTTCTACTCAGTTATATATGACAGCAGAAAGCTTTTCAATTCATTGTACACAAATGAAGCACAACTTTTTATTTCTCTAGTTGTATACAATGTAGAGTCACACCATAAGTGCAATCATACATTTACCTAGGATATTGATGTTCATCTCATTTTACCATCTTTCCTACCCCCATGCCCCCTCCCCTTCCCTCCCTCCCCTTGGCCCAATCAAAGTTCCTCCATTTTCTGCACCCCCCATTATGGATCAGCATCCACTTATCAGAGAGAACATCTGGCCTTTGGTTTTTTGGGATTGGCTTACTTTGCTTAGCATGATATTCTCCAACTCCATCCATTTACCTGCAAATGCTATAATTTTCTTTTCTTTCAATGCTGAGTAATAATATTCCATTGTATATATGTACTCCAGTTTCCTTATCCATTCATCTACTGAAGGGCATCTAGGTTGGTTCCATACTTTAGCTGTTGTGAATTGTGCAGCTGTAAACATTGAAGTGGCTGTGTCACTGTAGTATGCTGTTTTTAAGTCCTTTGGGTATAGACCGAGGAGTGGGACACCTGGGTCAAATGGTGGTTTCATTCCAAGTTTTCTAAGGAATCTCCATACATGTGTTAGCTTTTCATTGCTGTGCCCAAAAGACCTGACAAGAACAACCTTAGAGGAGGAAAAAGTTCATTTTGGACTCAGTTTCAGAGACCTGTGTCCATAGTCTACTCTATTGCTCTGGACCCAAGATGAGGTAGAACATCATGGCAGAAGGGTATGGCAGAGGGAAGCTGCTCAGCTCATGGCAGCCAGGAAGGAGAGAGACAAAAGGAGGGGCTGGCAGGAGAAGATACAGTCCAAGGGCACTCTTCTAATGACCTACTTCCTCCAGCCATACCCCACCTGCCTACAGTTACCACCCAGTAGACCACTCAAATATCTTAACCCACTGAAGAGGTTACAGCCCTCATGATCTAATCATTGCCTGAAAGCCCCACATCTGAACCTTGCTGTACTGGGGACCATGCATGAGTTTTTGGTGAGACATTAATGATCCAAATCATAACAGCTTTCAGATCTTTGTCTGACTTCATCAACCCTCCTTCCCTTCCCATGCACACTGTTCTTACTGAAGCAATTTAAAATAAACCAAAACAACATGCCTTTTATGGCCTAGATCAATTATGTGTACTCTCTAAAATCTATAGACATTTGCTTACACAACAAGGCATACACACAACAATAATCCCCTGGAATTCTCACTCTGCCACCTGTATTCAGACTTGGCTCTGAATGCCTTAAAAATGTATTTTTACTTTTTTTTTTTAAATATAAGTTTTTCTATGTCTACACTGATAAAGTAGAAGAAAACTCATGGAAGCTATTTGCATATCATACTAGGTAGAAAGAGTAGAAGGGAGGGAAAGACAGCCAAGATATCTATTGCTGCTAGGGATTTTATGCAAATAAAAGTAATTCATTTTTGCATTCATTACCCTGTCTTATAACATCATGGCCCCTACAAGTTTGCTTTATGTACACATTAAATCCCAATCTAGAGTTTGGGGCAGTAAGTCAAGGGTAAAATTCTATCATTACAATTCTTCGTGTGTGTGTGTGTGTGTGTGTGTGTGTGTGTGTGTGTGTGTGTGTGTGTTGCTGAGGATGGAACCCAGGTCTTCACACATATTAAGCAAGTGCTCTACCTCTGAGCTACACCTCCAACTCTAAGTCTTCACATTTTGCCTAATTTCTTTGGCCATTAATACCAGAAACTTAGAGTCACTGCTGTTTGTGACTACATGCACTGATGCAGGAATCAGACACCATCTCTAAGGAAAGCTTTACCTAGGGTACTCTGGTATCAATCCTCAAAATACCTGTTTCTGTATCTGCATTCTCTATAGCAATCCTTCAGAGGGAAACTTCACATGACCTTCTTGATCCTTGATATGATCAGGAAGAATCATTTATTTTAGTCCACTTGATGGTGAAATAAAAATACAATGTTCCATTTATTGGTGACTTTTTGGGGGTGGAGTTACTAGAGATTGAACCCAGGGGTGCTTTACAGCTGAACTACATCCATCCCCAGACCTGTTTATTTTAAGACAGGGTCTTGCTAAGTTGCTGAGGTTGACCTTAAACTTACAGTGCTGCCTCAGCTTCTCCAGTTGCTGAGATTCCAGACATGTGCCATAGCACCCAGCTAAAAAACACTTCTATAAAGGAAGAAACTTAGAGCCCTTAATCTGTCCAAATCTATTTCTATGGCAGTAAATAAAACATATTCCTAAGCAAGAGCTCAGAAAGATATTTCTAAAAAAAGGAGGAGTAGAGGGAAAGGGGAGGAGACGGCATCAGGAAAGTGTGTAACTCATCCCAGGTTCACAGCATCAGTTCCCCACAGGGGACAAGTGTACTTTTGTAGAGGGTCCGCAACAAGAAACATAGAGGTTGTATTTTCCACAGTCAATGATTAGGGGAAAATGAAAGACTCCCTACAGTTTATATAATCTGGGATTCTCTAAGCACTGTGCACTTTTCTATTCTTGCATTTTGCTGTAGATGCATTACTAAAAATTTAGAGGCCGTGGACTTTCTCTAGGTTCATTTTTTTTTCAAAGTGTATAGATAGGAGCCACTGGCTGCTCTGGAAAACCTGGCCCCAAGCTTTGGTTCCTGGAGACCTGGGAAGCATGGCAGGCTTTGACTTCAACCTCTACAAAAGTTCAGAGCAATAGCCTCCTAGATGATCCTAGATAATCATACATGTAGTCACAAACAGCAGTGATTCTATAAACTTCTGGTATTAATGGCCTCCTAGATATTAGCTTAACTACTGGCTGTTGGATGTGGAGGGTTAGTCCAAGAGGTATTCTTCAAACATTTCTCCGAAGCCTCTGGAGAGATCTTTCTCTTCCTCCCTGAAAATTCATCTGCACAGTTCAGTATTGCACCTTCCCAGGAAAGATACCTCAGCAAGGTAGGATTAGACAGCTAACCTGCAATTTAGAGACCCCAATTCTGCACTCACATAGGCTCACCTTCCTGTCCTCCTTGCAAGCACACCCTGCTCATTGCAACTCCAAGCCCCTGTACCTTATACGCCTTGGAGACTCAACCCACAGCAACTGATACATTGTATCGAGATCTTGGCGCCAAAAGAGAACCCTTGCAGCCTCATGTCAGGGCAAACACAGGGGGCACTAGTTTAGAATCTTCAGAAGCCCACAGCTTCATCCATAGCACCCAGAGTATGGAGCCTCCTCAGGGCCACAGTCATGATGCCGGCGGCTTGCTCAGCCTAGGAGCTAAGGAAAATGGGGAAGAACAGCTTGGTCCGTTCCTGAACGGCATGAGTGCTTTAGTGATCTCCAGAAAGCGAACATTTCCTGGCAGAGGCGAGTGGACGGATTCTGTCCCCCAACCCCCGCCGCCCTCGTGTTGTGCGGCGCCTTCCCAAGTACCCTAAGCCCCAAAGCCTTGATCTTTCACTTTTTCTCTTTATGCTTTTTCCTTTCCAGGTGGAAAGCCAGTGGTGACCACCATTGCTGTAGAGGAAGAAGAGAAAAAAGAAGGTGTACAGAGTGAGCCTGAGCAGGGAGCAGAACAAGGAGAGGAAGGAGAAGAGGAGGAAGGAGCAGAAGATGAAGAGGAAGATGAAGAAGAGGAGGAGGAAAGAGAAGAAGAGGAAGAAGGAGAAGAAGAAGAGGAGGAGGAGGAGGAGGAGGAAGAGGAACGAGAAGAAGAGGAAAGAGAAGAAGAGGAAGGAGAAGAAGGCCATGTTGGCGCCAGTGCTCAGGGCCCAATTGACGACAAGAACCTTGAGGGTGGTGGCGCCTACAGTGGTGATGAGGAGCACCAGCTGCAGCAGGAAGAGGGAACCCCTGAGGATGAGGGCGACGGGAGTGTACTGCCTGCAGACTTGCAGCAGCCCCAAGAGCACACCAGGTTCACCCCCGGGCAATTGCAGGAATTGGAGAGCATTTTCCAACGCAATCAATACCCCAACGGCCCAGTGAGGTAAGCAGATTGTCCTTCTGAGTGCCATTTGCTGGAAGCACATACTTTGGCTGTCTCCTGGGTCCTTCTCTTCCTTTCCTGAAATAAAAGTCCCCTCCTTACTGCCCAGCCTGTTCTCCTGCATTTGGTTCTAGGGTGGGAATGTGGTTATGCCAACTGGGAATGAAGGTAAATATTTCCATACAGTATTTAAATGAATCAAGCTGTTTATTGTAGATTTTTGGCATTAATTTTTATATTTGTAAATACATTAGAACATTATTTCTCATGATTATTGATGTTTTGGCCACCCAGTAAAGTTTGCACCTGAGAGAAAACTATCCCTAAAGCAAGCCTCAGAGTGGATATTACAGAGTAGCACACACGGGGTTGGGGGAGGTTTGATGGCACAAACATTTAAAAACAAACATGAAATGTACTTTGCATATTTTTTCATCCACAATGCCAGATATTTAATATTTGCAATGTTTTCTCCTCAGAAAGGAGATTGCAAGACAGATGGGTGTGACTGAAGCCAGAGTGCAGGTCAGTAAATGTGGAAAAAAGCAATCTGGGCTTTTGCTGAGGCCCATGCCTGTGATCCCAGTGATGAGAGAATTGAAAGTTCCAAGCCAGCCTGAGCAACTTAGCAAGACTGTGTCTCTAAATAAAAAAATAAAAGGGCTGGAGATGTGGCTCACTGGTATAAAGCACTCCTGGGTTCAGTCCTTGGTACCAATAAATAAATAAATGGGAATGTAGCTTCCTGGTAGGGTGCTTGTCTCCAATGTGTGAAGTCTTGGGGATCCCCAGCACTGTGGGGGTGGGGGAGAAAAGAAAAAAGCAGAACCTGCTTCAGTTTGAACTCATTTGTCATGAACATTGTCATGTCATTGACATATTTTGTTGCCTTCCCTATGTTTAGGAAATGAGGTTTGAACTTTGGGGATTTTTTGGGTGGAAAATGAAATGAGAAACCCTCAGCATAAGGAAATTTCCATCTCCAGAGGGTACATGACTTTCTAAAGGAACAAAAAAAGTCTGAAGTACTTTTTTTGTTCCTTACATATATATGTCTTAGTATAAATTATAAATGAATTCTAAATTAGAAGCATATTTATATATTACAAGTACATAAAATATAAATTATACATATGTATATAATAAATTTCAATTCCTTCTAACACTGGTTTCCTTTAGGTAGCACTTCTGAATGGAGTCATGTTGAGGTTAATTCTGACATGAGAATTATTCAAGTTAGTGTACCAAGAAGCTCCATGATATTAAATTATTTAAAACCAAGCATAAACTTTTTGTTTAAGGAGTGAACTTATAAATATTTAGGCATTGGAGTGAGGGAATAATTCACAGCAAGAACACAACAGATGTGTAACTAATGTGTGTTTAGATAAACTGAGACTGATAGGAACTGGGAGAGTATAAAGTCCAAATGCCTGGTCCTCCTCCTTTTTTTTTAATGGTTATTACTGGTACATTACAGATATTTATAACAATGGGCATTTATTGTGACATTCATATACACACATAACAATTTGATCAATATCATTCCTTAGTACCTCCCCTTTCCCTTCCCTCCTCCCTCTCCTGATTCCCTTCCTCTACCTTTACTATCTCCCTTCCAACACTTTTTAAGTGGGATTCCATGTGGTATACATGGATATATCATAATTTGGTCGATTTTGTTCCTTAGTACCTCTCCTTGTCCTCCCCTCCTCCCTCCCTCTGGATCTCTATTGAATTCCCTCTGGTTTTGTGAGATCCCTTTTTTTCTCTCTCTCTCTAGCTTCTGCATTTGAGAGAAAATATTTGACCTTGACTTTCTGAGTCTGGCTTATTTCACTTAGTCTTTTCCAGTGCCATCCATTTTCCTACCAAAGCCATAATTTCATTTTTTTTATGGCTGAATAAAACTCCATTGTGTGTATATACCACATTTTCTTTATCCATTTATTTGCTAATGGATACCTAGGCTGGTTCCATAACTTGGCTATTGTGCACTGTGCTGCTGTAAACCTCAGTCTGTAGAATCACTATAGTATGCTGATTTTAGCCCTTTGGGGTAAATACCAAAGAGTGGGATAGTTGGGTCATTAGGTAGTTCTGTTGTAGTCTTTTGAGGAATCTCCATACTAATTTCCATTGTGGTTGTACTAATTTGAAGCTCCACCAACAATATATGAGTCTGAGTTTTCCACCACATTCTCATTTCATCAGCATTATTTGTTATTTGTATTCTTGACGGTTGCCATTCTGAGTACAGTGAGATGAAATTTCAGTGGAGGATGGTTGCTTTTTAAAAAAAAATTTTTTGCACCTGGACGGGAACATATCAGTGTAGTTTTGATTCACATTTTCCTGATTGCTAAGGAGGTTGAACATTTCTTCATATATTTGTTGGCTATTTGTAGGTCTTTCAATAAATGTTTAGTTCATTTGCCCATTTACTGATTGGTCCTGCTGTTGTTTTTAAATCTTGGTAAAGCCAAACAGAGAGTGGCAGCCCTACATTTAACTTTTCTGGAATATTTTGATGCATCAGCCTGAAAACATTACTAACATAGTAGGTTTTATGTTAAGGTGAAGATGAGAAGAAGATATACAATCTTTAGAAATGTGTCTAAAAAACAACTAAAAACGATTTTGGACAAATTTCCACTGACCTAAGAAAGGTAGAAGTGTTAGGCAACTATTAGAAACAGACATATGTCTTGGAGAAACTGCACACATTCAACTTTTTGAAACTACCAAATGCATTAGTGGCTGTTTTATTGAGCAGTTTCTAACATCTATATTTTTTCCCTTCCTTTTTGTGGTACTCCTATGAAGAAATGTGTTTTGTGGAATTCGTTGATAGTGGGGGCTGGTTGTCAGTTCAGGATAGATTCTGACCTGTGGTAATATGAAATACTTTCTCATTTGCTCAGACAGTGATAACTAATTTGTATGTCATTGGATCCCAAGGTGATTATTTGGAGGCCGTAGAAAACCATAAGTTGTATCAAAGGAGTATTGGGAAAAAAAGAAAAAGAAAAAAAAAGATCAGGATGATATTATGCACTTTGCTCCTGAGGAGTACTGTGGTGATGGAAAGGTGTTGCAGATCAGGTGATGGTGTATAGAAAAGCAGCCCCACAAAGCAGGCCCCTGACCACTGGCATCCTAATGCCACAGGCTGGGCTCACATCTGTTGTCAACCATTTTGACATGACTATCTCCAAAAAGCTTTAATAGACCCCCCGGCCCCCACATTCTGTAAAGATAGCAAGAGCTCTTTTATGAAACCAATTTTGGGAATAGGAACCTAAATGTCAGTCCATACCATATTTAGCTCACTTTTGGCACTGGTTATGTTTATGAACCTTTAGCCACTGGTACATTCGAATCTCCCCAAACAAGTACTATTTTAATAGATTTTTCAATCTATATATTCAAAGGGAACTCCAGAGAGGAAGATGGGAGGGAGAAATGAGTCATTGAACAGGAAGAAGAGGGTTTTTTGTTTGTTTGTTTGTTTGTTTTTTTGGTTCTGGAATTTAAACTCAGAGCTCCATTACCAGTTCTTTTTATTTTTTATTTTGAGACAAAGCCTTGCTAAATTGCCGAGGCTGGCCTCAAGCTTTCTGTCGTTCTGCCTCAGCCTCCTGAGTCACTGAGATTACAGGCATGTACCATGCCCAGCAAGAAGACATCCTTTGTCTCCCAGATTTGTTGTTTGGGAACTTCCAAAAGAATAATAAAATGGAAACCTCATTAAATAGGATACTGAAGGGATAGTGCAGTTTAATTGACAGGTTTTACTTTTGATCTTTAAATAGTTAGCAGGTAGTCTTTTTTGATACCATCCCTATATTATTATTGATTGTCTTCAGAAATGCCTGTTTGGATTTCCCTGCTTTAGAAATGTGGATAGGATTAGAATCTCCTATTTGAGTAGTAGGGCTAGTTGGCTGAAGGTGTCTAACCATGCTGAGAAACCATGTCTGTTGTCTCAGAACATGAGAATGTAGGGAGCTCAGAATCACCAGATCCCAGGAGACTCTGGAGGGTAGGATGGGTTAGAGCATGCACAATTGACAGTGCCTTTTCCCCTAAGAACTCTTGGCTGGGCAAAGGGTGAAGTCTAAATATTCATTACTCCTAAAGTTTAGAACATGAAAACAGAGTCCAGGGCCTCAACTACACTCGTGTCCCAGTAAGGCAAGCCACACACTCCATGTGGCCATAAGACCAGGCTTCCCTCAATATCATCTTTTTAATTTTCAAGAAGTTTCATAGGATAAATGACCTCATATATGCCCTTGAAGATCTTTTGTTTAAAATTCCTACTGAGGTGGGTGCATTGGCAAATGTTTGTAATCCTGGCAACTTGGGAGGCTGAGGTAGGAGGATTCAATTTTGAGGCCAAACTCAACAACTTAGACCTTGTCTCAAAAAAATATTTTATAAGGGGCTAGGGAAGCAGCTCAGTAAATGGGTTCCATGTCTAATATCCTCCCCCCCAAAAAAATCCTGTTGATTATTTCTTCACACTGAATATAGGCTTTTCAAAGTGGGGGCCATTCCCTTTGGTATGACTCTAAAAGGTACCCGCTTTTCATCAAGTGTAGCTCAGCTTCTCTATAACCATGATGACACCTGACTAGTGAGTAGGGGTTGGTGGCAGCTAGAGAGTGGATGGTCAACCATCATGGAACAGATTGAGCAGACATAGCAATAGCTGCAGGGACCAAGTCCAATTTATCAGCTACAACTGCACAGTATTAAAGGAAGACAGTATTAAAGGAAGGAGGAGAGAGTCAAAGCAATAAGCCAAGCCAGAGTTTGGCATATAGTTGGAGCTCACTAGAAGAGGGTTATGGCATTAACTTTCCTAGGATATTTAGCAATAAGGAAATAGCTTCTCCTGATGCAATTGAAAATAATAAGGACATATGGAGTCACCTGTTGAGTTGTGTTGTTTTGCCTATGATGACATTAAATGCTAGATACACTCAATCAA